TGATCTGACATTTGATTGAATGATTAAAAATAGTAATCCATTCAATAAGAAAAATAAATAAAAAAACAAATACTCACCTCACACTAGAGACAACCCTGAATAAATGGGAAAAGAAACAAATGATGTCAGTGATGAACCATAAAAAAATAGTGAAGAACCAATAAATCATAATGATAATAGAAAAATTAATTAAGAAAAAGAAATAAAACAAAATAAATACTCACCTGACAATAGACAAAAACCTAAATGAATGGTCAAAATAGCAAAAGTGGTCAGTGATGAACCATAAAAAATTGGTGATGAACCAATAAATAATAATCACAAGGAGAAACACACCTGAAAGTACACTTCAAAGGGCAATCTAAAGAAACAACTGAAAAGAAAGTGAAAGTAAAAGTCAGTGGACTGGACAAGAGACCAAAAAAAATTGAACAAAAATGACAGATCCGATCCGATACCCGATACCGGATCGTATCGTATCGATGACTCACCTCAGGCCCTGACTAGCTGTCTTTCACAACGAGAGAAACAAATAAAAGTGGTCGGGGGCGGATACCAAGTCGAGCCCACGACTCCAAGAGCAACGACAGCGGCAGCGGCTGCGGCTTGTCCTGCAAAACACCGACTAATCGGAGGGCAGGCTGGGAACGACGAGTGGCGGAGGCCGGGCGGTGTCCGTTCGAGTCCGAGTACAACCCGACGTTTGAAGGGTGAAGCGACGAGGGTGGGGGGTCGCCAGATCAAGTATCCAGCGACGAAGCGGAGGGCAGGGGCCGGGAACGAGGGGCCGGGAACGACAAGTGGGGGAGGCCGGGCGGTGTCCGATCGATTCCGAGTCCGACCTGACGCCTGGTGAACAATGAAGCGACGAGGGGGGGGGGTCGTCAGATTTGACACAGACGAAGCAGAGGGACGGGAACTTCAACGACGAGCGGGAACTTCAACGACGACTCACAAGTGGGGGAGGCCGGGCGATCTCTGTTCGAGTCCGAGTCCGACCCGACGATGGATGGGTGAAGCGACAAGGGGGGGGTCGGTCGTCAGATTTGAGCCGAGGTGAGGACGCCGACGATCGATGGGGGGGGGGGTAGTGATGGGGTGGTGGGAATATGTAGGACTGGGAGTCGGACTGGAGGGGTGGTGGGGTGGGGTATTAGAATAGCAGTATACCGTCAGAAATGAAGACCGACCCGGTCCCCAATAATGTGGGCGGGGCACAATACAGGATTGGGGAAACCTTGGATCGGCTTGAGCGATACCGATACCAAGTTCCCACGCCGCTCGTATCGGATCGCCCCAGCTGATCCCAATCATCTGATAAATCGGGATTGGATCGGAAAAACGATCCGATCCCGATACACGGTATTGGGGTACATTTCGATCCGATCCCCGATAAATACCGATCCGGGGATCGGATCGGTTACATCGTTGTTACAAGACATAGTAAAAAATATATTATATCATCTAAACATCATCAATTGATATGTGTGATAGATAGAATTTTTTAGGGATGAGAAGAGAGAGAGACAAAATTCCAACAATTACACTACCAAATCTATCAATACCTCCCAGCAAAGTCAAATTGTGAATTTTGATGTATTTATTATTTATAATGGAAGCCCCTCCATAAAAAAACCATACAAGAATCTACTATGATTTTGATGATTGATTTTAGGCCCATCTCCCCAGGCTATCAGTTAATTTCTTCAAGTAGATGTTGTATTATGTTGGAGTATATGATTATACTGTTGTATGCATCAATCAAACCACATGACAAATCCTGTATTTAGTTCCCCTCAGGATTAGTCTAGCAGTTTCTCTCCTCAGTGAATACAAACCATCTTTTTCTTTTTCACTCCTAAAGTGTCACAGACAATCTTTCTGTAAACTTCAGTCATTAGTCTCCCCTGTTTGTCTCACCATATAAGTTGGAAGAAGCCAGGAATAATAGTCAAGAAATTTAAACATTTTGTTTGAATGTTTATTCAATTTCACAGGCCATATATTATAGAATTTTTTGTTTTTAGATCCACAATGGCATGTGTAAGTTGATATGGGTTTTCATGAGCATTTTTCCAGAGCAATGTTTTAGCTGGGAAAGACGTTTGATCCTGGTATTTGAGCTAGCAATTAAATACATCAGTGTGTCCTTCTTATGAGTATTCATAGCATACAAAAACAGTTCATGTTATGTAATCAGGTTACACAGTCCTGATTGCACAACATGAAATTCAATCTGCAGTGACTGGGATGGATTAAATGTTGTGTTAAGTAATCAGGACTGCATAACTTGATTACATAATGGAGATGTTGCTTCATACCCGGGTACCTGCCTCAAAAATCCAATATTTTGGACACTTGAACCCGCACCCGCAGCCACCAGGTCCGCCAGGGCAAGTACCCGGGTACCTGGGCCGGGTACCTGCGGGTGTGGAGGGTTTTTTGCAGGCAAATATACCCAGAAATCTAACCCTTGAATTCTTGCATGGCTTACTAAATATATTATTGAAATTCACTAGATATATGAGTAAGAGTAACATAGAAAAAAAGAAAAAAAAAAGAAAAAAAAACATTCTATCACCAATTTGCACTTTATCTTCTCTCTGATCTATCTTTAGCTTTCCCCTTTTGCTTGGCCTCATTTACCTTATTCAATTTCCATTGATGAAGACTGTACACCGTCTCAAAGGCCGGAGGGTTCCCTCTGGTGTGAGAACTCCTTTGGGAATGGTGGCAGTCCTGTGAGGGGGAAATAGCAGATGAGATATATCATGTATGTAATGATCTACTACAACTGTTACGGCTGGTTTGAAAGACCTGCCCCTCTATCGTACTACACTAGAGTTAACACAACAATTTATTTAATGTTGTGGCAAAACTGATGATAGAGAAAACTATGTGTAGCAGTCTCTTATCAAACCTAGATCAACGTGGATTCAGCAGACTATTTGAGTGGAAATGCTGAGTTAGAGGTGTTTTTGTTTATATGTTTATGTATTTTGTAAAATGATTGACGTATGTACTGATGATGAATGGGAATTTATGAGATGATATTGAGGAAAAATGTGACTATTGCAAGTGTCTTTCCCTTCCTCCTTAAATCTTGGTCAAGAGCACAATGGTTTAAGATCACTGTCTCTTGACCAGAAGTACCTCACTTTTCCTACCTTTCCCACTATGCAGTGTCATTGGTAGCATTAGTAAGTCACTTCTCATAAGTTAAGCTAGCATCTTTCTGCTTGTTTCTCTTCTCTGTCTCTCTCCATTTCTCTTCAGTCCTCATCAAACCAAAGCCCTGATCAAAGAAAGCAAGCTCTAGCTTCTACTATCTCAATTCCTCCTGTTTGGTAGTACAACTGAAAACTACATAGGTTTCCCTTTAAAGAGCCTTGATCTTTGATCTAAAAAATTGTGGTTGACCTGATTCTTCAGTGTCAATAACCCAATTCAGTTTCTGTTGATTTGGAGGTGTCAGAGTTAGCTACGCTTATAACAGCCATCCTACTAAGGAAAGTAAGACTGTCAGCAGCCATCCAAAAAGGGACAGTGAGACTGCCAGCATTATAACCTTCATCTTAAAACAAACAAACAAAAGAACAAAAAATATTCTTTATTTCTTTCACTCTTCTTCTCCCTTTCTCTTACTTTTATATTGTATCCCTCTTCTCTTAAGAAATACATATAAAAGTGCCCCCCATATCTTGTGTCCTGCTGTCACTATAGAGACCCAGGCTCACATAGGACACCAGTAGGTGTACTACATGGGTTGCTGACACGTTTGTGCAGCCAAAAACACCCAAAAAGGGAGTGTTGGACTGCCAATGATAATTTGAATTCTTAAGGAAAGGCATTCCCAGGGCAGGTTTAAGGCAGGTACCCGGGTACCTGCCTTTTTTACCCTAAATGTTGACACCCGCACCCGCTTTGGAAAACAGGTACCCACAAATGGGTACTGGGTACCTGCTGACATCTCTATTTTGTTTCCTTGCTTCTCTTTTGGTATTTCACATGTTTTTCTGGGGAGTTTATGTTTCTTTTGTGGTTGGATGTATGGAAGGTTGCTCCTAGGTGTTGGTGGGCTTGATCAAATGCTAGTTTGGAGAGGGAAAAAAACTTGATGAAAGGATGATATTGGGGCTGAGCAACTCAGAAAAGAGGGTCTGGAGACTGGATTCTTTGGGCCACAGAAAAAAAAGACATGCCACAGGGCATCCTTCAGGGGTCTGGATTTTTGGGATCAGCCTCATGCCAAATCCCAGGGGTCACACCCTAAGACCATGGTACTAGCACTGTGTTGAAGGA